TACTTCAGCTTTTAAAACATGGTCTTTGTATGAGATGTCAAGGAGTCTGCGGTAACATCTCATCTCTGTGGTCTGAATCTTTTTCTCTAATTCTGCTGTTAGTATCCACGACTCACAGGCGTGTGTATAAAAATATTGAGATGACTGGTGAGCGCATTAGTCTAATTTTTGAGCTGTGCGTGATGTTTCTGTCCCTCCAAATAGGCTTCACTTTTGACAGCGCAGCTGTTGTTTGCGCGACTCTGGAGAGAATTTCTGGCCTTGAGCCTTCATCTGAGACGATAGATCTGAGGTATTTGAAGCTGTTGACGGTTTCAAGTTTCTCGCCCCTGACTTTGATGTCCGCGTTGATGCCATTGATGTTGTTGGCCATTAGCTTGGTTTTTCTCGGCACTGATCTCCATGCTGTAGGCTGCTGAGGTTGTGTCCAGCCGCTCCACTAATGTGGCGAGCTCCTGTTCTTCTCCTGCTAATCCATCGATGTCATCGGCAAAACGCAAGTTAGTGATTGTCCTGCCTCCAATACTGATTGTTCCATTGTGGTCTTCCAGAGTGTCAGTCATGATTCGTTCTAGGAAGATGCTGAAGAGTGTGGGAGAGAGCAAACAGCCTTGCCTCACCCCGACCGTTGTCCTGAACCAATCCCCCATGTTGCTGTTAAGGTAGACTGCGCTGGAGGCCTTGTCGTATAGTTGTTGTATGACGTTGATCAGGTTGGCGTTGATGTTATATTTCCTCATGGTTGCCCATAAAATAAGGCTTATATGACCTTATTGTGTTGCAAGTGCCGTAAAACTCTTACAAGAACTAAAGGCTGCATGCCAGACCCTGTCGAAGGCCTTTTTAAAGTCCACAAAGATGTTCTTACTTTAGGGGTGACTAAATGCAAAATAAGTTACTGCCAAAGTCGAGCAGTCTTGTTTTCTGACAGTACCTGTTGAAGGCATTAATTTCAATTGAAGTATAGTCCGGGAACGTTGCCCGAACCACAATTGAAGTATCTGAATATTCAGACATTTAAAAATCTCTAGAATTTAGCTCTAGAAATCGAATTCGATGCAAAAAATGCTTCCCCCAAGTCCTCGCAGAATGGCAGAATGAAAGATGACGCCGAAATCTCTGAAATAACCAAAAAATCTTGAGAGCGGAAAAATAGAGGTCAAGTTTATTTTCCCGAGAGTTTGGAGAAATAGTCACTGCGTAAAATTTTTTCTTAATTCCCACCCCCTTAAGGGGATTTTTAAACATTTAACTCCATTTTTGACTAAGGTGTGTGTGTTCTTGAGCGCATGATTTAGTTTTACTTTCATTCATATTTTTGGCCTTTTTCTTTGCTTTCAATGAGATTGGTTTGATGTGACAGAGAAAGCATTCAAAAGCTAAAAGGGATATTTCCCCCCTTAGCATTAGCACTCTCGTTTGAATGTGCTCAATATTTCCAGACCCAGCATAATATTGTAGAGACATACTCGATTTCTATCAAGATCTACTTAGATCTGCGAGTCATGTCTAATTCTCACCCCAGGTTCAGAGGTCGGCCTTCAGCCTGTATTACATATCTAAGAATCTTGAGATATCTAGATCTATCTAGAGATACAAAAGATGAGAAGTGACCTGACCCGGATGGGAATAAAAAAAACAACTATTCCCACCTCGGGTGGAAATACTTCCATGAAGAAAAGCAGAAGAGAATTTAGAAAGTAGGAGGAAGCTTTTTAGAACAACAGAGAAGACTTCGTCATGAAGTGTTTACAATAGTTGTTTATATAGAGTTCTTACTTCCTTTGTGCTTTTTGTGTCCTTTTATACCATTTCTAAGGTGTCAAGGGGAGATGTGATTGTCGGACGTGGGCCAGGACGTGCTTTGCTTTGTGGATCATCATACTGTGTTTTTGAAGGATCTCTTTGACCCAATCCAGCCATGTTTTCATTCTTAGTTTACCTTTTGTTAAATATCATAATATGTACATTAAAGTAATAAACTTGTAAACCTTTTTAACTTCCTTCTGGAATCAGTATTGTCTACGGGTCATTATTTCATCGTAGAATGAATAAGGGAAACCAGAAGTTTGGAGCTGATTTGTGCGTCTTGAAATTTTCTTCAGAACCCGGTCTGTTTAAGAACACACTTTTTCTGTCTCCTTAAGAACAGGCTTATACTTATAGACAGAGACAACTACGATGGACCTTGTTTTCCCTCACTATAAACTAACGTGTCTGCAGTGCTATTTGTATGTCTGTGTGTCTTTGTTTCCCTGAAGTCTGCTTTTATACTGAACTGTATTTACTTAGGAACGGGAGATCTCTTCAGAGCATATATTATGTGTGCTCCTGCCATTTCTTAAAAAGTGAAGAGGAAGAAGAAAATGATTGCTTTTTATATTAAAATATATTAGTAACCCCAAGCTTTCTACTCACTGTGTAATGCACATTCTCACAGAAGTTAGGAATTTTTTTTTTGCTACAGCCGTGATTTGATTTTGGTCAACTTTTGCACTTGACATTATTTTTTTTCACAAGTTCTGAAAACAAATGTCATAGTTGTTTAAAAAAAAATTATATTATATATATTACATATATATATTTTCTTGTTCTTAATTGTCTGCAGGTCTAACATGCGAGTGTCAACCTGGTTATAGATATGCCAAAAATTTTGGTGGAAAGGAAGTAACCTGTGTGGCATGTGGAGCTGTGAGTTCATCGATTTGTTCTTTTGTCTTCTGTTTAAGGGAGTGACAATTATATGGAAGGCTCCATTTTACAAAATTTTTTACTGAAAGATATTGTTACTGGAAAGAGAAGGAAAAAAAGTAAACATTATCCTCTTCCCTTTTCTATTTAACGTTTGTGAATGAGGTTTTTCAACTTTGTTAATTTGCAGAGGTACCAGAAAGACTTAACTTTGTTGATTTGTAGAAGTACAAGAAAGACTTCACTTGCATTTGGTTGTGAGAAGAAGATTTAAGGGTAAGGAAGTGGCAAGTTGAGGTCTTGATTTGATCCCTCTAGTTAGAATGTTGTAAAAACTTTCTTTTCTAAGTGAGAGTGAATTCAAATTTGATGTAGCACTTGCTCTTGTGTTTGGCTTTCTCAGAACCAGGCTGTGTCAGACGATGGCTGGGAATGCGTGGAGTGTCCCGGTGTAACCAGCGCAGCCACGGGGACTTGCGATAAATGCTTGGGAGATCGAGAAGTAAATGGTGAGAGCAAGAAAATAGAACGTGTTGGAATGGAATCCTCAAGTTAAGTGAACAAGGGGAAGGCCATGAGGAACCTGAAAAGGGCAAGGAGGATGACAAGAAAAAACAAAATTTTGTTGTCTCCTTTCAGAGTACTCTCTCGTTATGTATGCAGTGACATCATGCTTAGATGGCGCATTGGCCATGTTATAATGTGGGGGCGGTTGGGCACTGTAAGCTCAGTTAGTATCATGCTGTAAGCTGTTATATCAGTGCTGGGCAGAAATCCAAATAGATATCTGAATATCCAGTTCATATGCCTGATTTAGATAACGAAGTTGGAGACACAACCCATTTTGACCTTTTTTTTGTTCGAGGGGAGCCCTGGGCTCAGGCTTACTTTCTCTGAGATAGCGTCAGGGATGGGGTAGGGCTGACACAAGGGAGCGTATAGATTAGGCCTAGATCTATCTAGAATCGCACATAGTTTGCGATGAGTAGGGGGTGATGGGGAGTGGGGTTACGTGGAGGTGGTGATGGGGAGTGGGGTAATGGGGAGAGGGATAATGGGGAGAGGGATAATGGGGAGGTGGTGATTAGGAGTGGGGTAATGGGGAGTGGGGTTATGGGGATGTGGTGATGGGGAGTGGGGTTACTGGGGAGAGGGGTAATGGGGAGAGGGGTAATGGGGAGGTGGTGATGGGGAGTTGGGTTACTGGGGAGAGGGGTAATGGGGAGTGGGGTAATGGGGAGGTGGTGATGGGGAATGGGGTTACATAGAGGTGGTGATGGGGAGGTAGTGACAGGGAAGGGGTGATGGGCCTGTGTGCAAGAAGCAACCAGACCAATCGGAAATTTCTGAGAGCCAGACCTACTTTTAAACTGGTTTAGATTTTAATCCACCTGCACCAAGTCTAGCGGGAAGCAAGTTTAGGTTTCAGATTAATGTTGCTGAGCACGTATGAAATCGCGGTGGACCTTGCTATATCTAGTTTCTATACATTATATCTAATATATCCCTGGTGCTTGCGTTGTAGACTAATCACAATCATGGTTTAACACCCTGACCCACCTTCAATCAAATTATAGTGTGTTCAGAATTTAGTTTCATTATATGTTTATATTACTGTTCATTTATATTATGCTTGTGACTGTAAGCCTGCATGTGTATGCATGTTTATGTGTGTGTGTGTGTGCATGTGTGTGTGTATTTGTGTGTGTGTGTACGTGATGAAATACCAAACCAATGTGCCAGGACCTGGACAATAAAGATGTATCTTATCTTATCTTATACATACTCTTGAATAAGGCTCTTTCTTCCTAACGGAGGCGGAGGATACTAAATTATAGTCTTGATGTGTTTCCAGTGCTACGCCTTTTGGATGGGAACTTTGCGACGGCGACAGCATCAGGAGTAGGTCAGGTCACGTGTCAGACGTGTAGTGCGGACACACAGCCCAATGATGGTCTCGACAGGTAGGAAGAGGGTTGGAGCTATCTGTGATCTAGAATTTTCTTTGTACACTTTAGAAACCATTAGTGGCGTCGGTAGGTTAGGGGTTAGGCTACTGGACTCTTAATCGAGAGATTGTGGGTTTAGGGGTTCGAGCCTCAGCTCAGTCCGATGTTGTGTCCTTGGGAAAGGCACTTAACTCGATTTTTCCCCTTGGCTGGGTCCTTTAGGAGATGGATATTAAACTCGGAGGTCCCACCTCTTAAATATTCTAACAGTGTTGATAGGAACATAAAAAATTTACCATTTCACCATCTTTTTTTAAACAAACCTTTCCTTGCTCTTATGCCCTCATCGACAGAGTCTGATCATTTAGGAGGCGGGCTTCCGACCCTGCCAGACAGGGATGCAACATCCTAGTAGATAGACTGAGATACTCTTTAAAAACTGTCCCCATTTGGGAATCACACTCGGTTCACTTTTGTGCAACAGTGAAGTGCGTAACTGCTGTATCACAGATGCTAGTGGAGCATGTAGGTTTGAATGTAAAAATAAAGCAATAGGAAAGGAAATGTATGTTTGATATGAATTTGTTAACTTTGCTTACACTCCCATATCTAATCTTTGGCATTTATATGACCATGCTATGCTGCAAAATTCTTACTAACACAAAGCTTTGACTAAAACTAAAAGAAAGTAGGTGGCTGGCGGGTGGTCTGGTGTGGTTTGCTTTTTCTTTCCTATCAAACATCTATCGTCTTTATCTCCCCTCCTTCTTTTTTGTGTTTGTTACCCTCTTGTAACACCTCTAATCTGCGGCACTTATATCGAGGGCCGCCAAGTAAATTATGGTAAGTCATGTTTTTCAAATTTTACAAGAGAGACAAAATACGGATTTTCTTGACTCATTTTGGGTGGATAAACTTCATTTTCATCAGGGAGCCTAATGTCAGTCATGGCATTTGTAGGCTCCTTTATGAAAATGAAGTTTATCCAAAAAGACGCGTCAAGAAAATACGTTTTTTGTCTCTCCTGTAAAATTTGAAAAACATGAATTACCATAATTTACTTTGCGGCCCTCGATATGACCTTAGTATGTAGCAAGTACCGTAAAACACTTACTAACCCCCTCAACAAGGAAGTTCTACTGACTGAAGTGTCTTTAGGCCATTCCCAAAGGAGGGATGTTAACATGTTCTTATGCACAGTAGAATTGTGCATGGGCTGATTTATCAATGTCATGCTCCTACTGTGCCGGAACAACATAGGGGGAACTGCTGCTTTTTCTTTCGTCCTCCTCACTGTCGTCAAATGTCCTCTACTTCTTTTGTATGTTTGTCACTCTTTTGTGAGCTGCTATTTCCGGGGTGCCTTGATAGTCGAAGCAGACTTTGTGCTGTTGAGGCTAGAGAGGTGAGCAGAGTAAGCCTGATTCCCCCTTTGGACTTCTCTGTTGACATCCACCCCTTGGCGCTCATATGACCTTATTCAGTTGCGAGTGCTGTAAAACCTTACTAAAACTAAAACTAAACACTTATTAAAACATAAAACAAACTAAAAGAAAACTGTTTTGCTGCCTAGGTGTGACCGTTGCAGCACCACCCTGAGTATCCGGTCTGCTGGGGGCTGTGACTGTGACAGTGCCACAGAGGAGCAGGTAAACACGCATCCTATTCTTTCATAATAATAATATTGATAATAATAGTGATAATAATAATGATAATGATAATAATATCAGTAATAGTAATAATAATAATGATATTAATAATAATAATGATAATAATGATAACGATAATAATAATAATAAATGCATTTTTATAGCACATATCCACGCTCGACTAGAATTTTGTATGTCTGTCCAATATGACTATTCGTGTGTGTGCATGTGTGTTGGAAAGGTGGGGGGGTGTGCTGACGTGTGTGTGTTGATGTGTATGTATGGGGCGTTTACATGTATGTATCTATCATACTGCAGTGAATTTCTCTTTGTGGAGATTAATATTATGATATCTTATCCGCTCTTGTTGGTTGTTGACGGGTGCTCTGATGTTAACATTTCAGTGTGTAGGTCCTTGAGGGCCTTCATTTCACAAAAATGACTCCCAAATTCTGTATTATTTTTTTGCAGCTGAAAGACATTTGTTTTCAGAAGTCATCCCTCCCTGCAGATTACAATGCTCCATCGTTGTCTCAGATCACACTAGAGGTTAGTCAAGGTTAAGGTTAAGCCTGGATGTGTCAGTTAAGGCTAGAGGTTAGTTTATTAAGGTTAAGCTGTGACGAGTCAGATAAGGCAAGAGGTTAGTTGAGGTTAAGGTTAAGCCATGACCTGTCAGATAAGGGTAGAGGTTAGTTAATTAAAGTTAAACTGTGATGTGTCAGTTAAGGCTAGAGGTTAGTTAAGGTTAAGGTTAAGCCGAGACATTTCGTATGTGGCTTGAGGTTAATTAAGGTTAAGAATAGGCCGTGGTGTATCTGGGGTTTGTTAGACCCGGGATACAGCAGGGGATTCTCTCTCGAAATCACCAGTTTGTGGTGTTGGACTGAGTGGGAAGCTTTTCCTCTTGGATAAGGATAAAAAAATCCGAGGTGCCATGTCTGAGGTTGTACCAACAGACTTCTAGATTCTGGTTGTGTTTTAGCTTGCTGTCCTGAGTGTCGACAGGGAACATGAAGAAAAGATAAATAACCTGTTGGGTCTGACCGCCTCAGGCTGCTCAGAATTCTATTGGGATGTCATTGTAAAGTGTCTTTTCTTTTGGCTTTTTCTTGAACAGAAATTTAGAGACATAGTGAGTGCTAAGTGTAGGACTCCATAATGCATCACTTTTCAAAATGGTGTATGGCGGAGTCTCACACGAAGCAGTCGATGTGAGTGTAAAAAGAAACAATTAAATTTCATAACCTTAGTTTTTTGGATAATGATGTACAGAACACTGTGGAATGGAACATGATGTGATTTATTTTTGTTGTTTCTAGAATTCCCAGTCCGTGTCATCTGCGTATCTGACAGAAAATGTCATTGCTGAGTTCATCTTGTGCAAGGTGTGTATTACATCTTTTTGTGTTTTTCGGTTACTATATTCCTGGCTTTCTTACTTTTTTTTGGTTATGTCCCTCCCTCCCTCCCTTTACTTTTTAAGAAATTGTTTGTACACCTATTTAGTTTCATTGTGTTGTGTTGTGTTGTGTATTCTGTGAAAGGCTTCTCATTACTCTTGAGTGACAAAGTTCTATCTGCTCAGTACTTGGTTTAGGGAAATTTAACGTAAAAAATTTTGAGTTTCACAACATCTCAAGCTTTTTTCGAATTCAGTTTTTGAAATATCTTGATGACAGCTCCAAATAATCTCACAATTTTGATGGAGCATGTAGAACCTTTTGTTTCTGACCTCATGGTCTGAGTAACTCAAAACTGTAAAAAGTGTCAGATAGAACTTTGTAATTCTAAGGCATTGTATTGTTGCGAGGATTTTGTATCCATACTTTTTCCTTCGAAGGCAAGTTGCATGATCATCACCTGACATCAAAATGTTTACCCTGTTTAATGATGTAGATTTTTTTGTTGTGGCTTTTTTCCCCCTTTTTTCTTATGATTAATTTTGACTAAAATTTATTCTCTGATGCTGTATTTGGCAATGAAGCAATCTATAGTTGCTTTTTCTCAAGACTGTATTCTGGGTGAGGAACAGTACGATGTAGGCATCAGACATGAGTATCACATATCCCTTCACCGAGACCTTAAAAAATCACTGTGCATGACTGCTCATCTTATCACTTCATCACTTCATCACCTTGTCACCTTTTCACCTCATCACCTCGTCACCTCATCACCTCATGACTTCCCTTGATGTTGTCTTGGATTGTTGGCCTCTGTGTGACTCTACCGGCTTCTTGGTGGAGTTGTGTTCAGTTGTATATATATGTGGTTGTCTTATTGTCTTAGACAGGTGGATGTCTTGTACAGTGTCATTTTATATTTTAAAAAAAGCAAGGAGTTTGATGGGAAATGGTGGGTTGAACAAGTGATAGTCTTGGAGAGGTGATGGTTAGGGCAGGTTTGACTGTATTATATATATAATATTTTAATATCAGTGTTGTAGATATCAGGTTTTATTTCTAATGCATACCCTTGCTGTGAAGAAAGCTGTATAGATGTACAATTCATGATGACTCAAACAGACTGTTTGGCATTTCGAGACGCTCTCAGCTTTCATCAGAAAAAGCTGCCATTCTGCGTGCACTCAATCATTCAGATAGTGAGGAGATCCTTTAACTGTCCTAGCCAAGTAATCGGTCCCCGTTCGGTGAAGTAAGTAAGTACAATGGGGAGAGTGTTGTTCCTTAGAGCGCAAGGCCAGGTGCTTTCCGTGAGATGAACGTGGACTGACAACATAATGGCTATAGCTACTTAATATATGTGAGTGCATACTAGATGAAATGGTTTGGGCATCTGTCAAGACTACCACCAGACAGTATAACTGTGAGAGACTACTACTAAATATGAAATGGATACAGAGGAAGAGGCAGGCTCCGGAATAGATGGATAGAGGGGGTCAGAGAGACATTACACTGACAAAAATATTATAAACATGCAGCATTCGATACAACAAACAAGAGAAAGACTTTTGCTTCCCTCCTCAATACTGCAGTAAGGAAGCAGAGGCAGGAAAAAGTACAGTAAAGTAATATACTGAGCTTCCACAAGAAGGATCAAGTGTTCCCTTTTTTTAAAAACATTTTTTTTCCAGGACTACAACAACTCGATGTCATGTCAGTCTCTGGCCAACATGTGTGTGCTGACCATGTACCAGGGCAGCTTCAGTCCTGCACGGCTTGCTCAGGCGTGTTACCTCCTGACTGTTGAGATACCGTGAGTACCGGATGTGACTGAATGTGTTCATAGATATAGTGACAGTACTTGATGAGTTCGTAGATATGGTGACAATACTTGATGCGTGAGTACCAGATGTGACTGAGATATAAATGTGTCTTCATAGATAAAGTATGAGTACTGGATGTGTTCATAGATATAGTGTGAGTACTGGAGGTGTTAGTAGATATAGTGTGAGTATCGGATGTGACTGGGACATTACTTGTGTTCGTTTTTCTTTTTATATTATCGTCCCTTCCTTTACTTTTCTTCCTGTTCTTCATTGGACTAGATTTGACTTACCTGACATTTTATTCATTATTATTATTCTACTGACATAACCATATTGCGCTGTCTTCTTGTTACAGAAATTCGCTCATCTACTTCGACATCAAGCCGCAAATCTTTATCCAGGACGATGCGGAGGATGTGCTGTATTCGAAGGAGATCCGCACTCAATGGACCGTGGACCCACCAACGACCTTCCCCTTCCTGGTGGGCCAGTTTTCTCTGGACGGAGTCTTCGAAGGTTTTCAGGAGATGACCGGAGGCTTTCTGCAGCTGTGTGATGCCTCTGAGAATTTCCTCAATGCAGCATTCGTGTTTGGCACGTACTACAGTCACTCTGTAAGTGTGGGTGGTTGGCGGGGCTCTGGTGTAGTCTGCTCCTTCTTTCCTATCAAACATCTATCGTCCTTATCTCTGCTCCCTCTTTTCTTTGTATATTACTCTCTAGAAGCAACACCTCTAATCTTCGGCACGTATATGACCTATTTGTGTTGCAAGTGCCGTAAAACTTGTACTGAAACTAAAGCAGTGTTAATCATGAATCTTGTACTGTAGTTTTATTTTTTGTTGTGTTTTTGATTACTTGTCTTGGGAAGGAATCTGATACTTGCTAAGGCTTTGACTAACATTTACGTGTCATGTTTCATCTCATACTTTGAAAAATGCAGTGAGATTTATTACGAACATATTGAAATTAAAACTTTTAACAAATAATTCTGTAGTCTTTGGACAGACCTATCTGTGAGTGACTGAACTAAAGTTTTTTTTCGAAACAGAAAAAGAAAGAATTTCAAAGCAGAAAAAGAAAGAAGTTCAAAACAGAAAAAAAAGAAGTTTAAGTTTTTTGTCGTTCTTGATGTCAGTCAGACAGTCGATGGTGTGCACAAACTACTCAGTTCTCTCTATCCTCCAAGCTGCCTTGCACTTTTTCTCTCCAGTGGTGTAGCATGTGGCCATGTCTGTGCTCTGTGTGTTGTGTAAGTCGAAAAAACCCAGATGCAAACGTTAAAGTCAATTGCTCTGCAGGTTGAAGAACCAGCAGTCGCCTCTCCCTGAGGTCTGGCGAAGGAACACAAAAAAGAAGGAGAAGACTACGTTGTTTATAAGTGAACCTAGGTGTTCTACTTGAATTAAACTTAATTTTTTTTACCCCAATATCTCTGTGGGTGGTTGGCGGCTGCTCTGGTGTGGTTTGCTACTTCTTTCCTATCAAACGTCTTATCGTCTTTGTCTCCCCTCCTTCTTTGTTGTGTTTGTTACTCTCTTGTAACACCTCTAACCTTCGGCACTAATATGACCTTATTGTGTTTCAAGTGCCGTAAAACACTTACTAAAACAGAAAAATGAATATCTCTTCTCCACCTCATCCTACATCTGCCTACCAGCCTGTTGTGGGAGGTTGGTGGATGCTCTGGTGTGGCGTGCCCCTTCTTTCCAATCAGACATCTATTGTCCTCATCTCTGCTTCTCCTTTTTTCATATGTTATTTTCTGACAACACCTCTAATCTTTTGCACTTATATGACCTTATTGTGTTGCAAGTACCGTGAAACTTTTAAAAAATGACAACTTCCCTTCCAACCTTTTTTAATGTGTGTGTCCCGACCTCAGTGTTCCATTCCGGCGCTGTCGCTGTGGGACCCTGTCAAGTATCCCCTCAAGTTCTACGAAATTTGTATCCTTTACAGTCATTTTTGCTTGGGAGAGTAAGTAAGCAGACAGTGTTCGATCACTCCATACAGCGACAATTGTGCTGGACTTGTCTACGTTTTACTTTGAGTGTGAGTGTCAAATTAAAAAAAAAATTGTTGCTAGAAAAGGTTCCCTGTTTTTATACACACTTCTTTAAAAGTTGTGTTTTTAAAGAATTCTGCTTTTCTCTTGGAAAAAAAAAGTTTATTGAAAAAACAATCAAAATGAAAATGTAGCGTTAAAAAACAACAACTTTGATTGTTTGTGGCCTTGACCTAGTGTGAGACCTGCGGTACACGTCTGACGGTCGGGAGACGTTATACCGTGTCCCAGTGAAGATTCTGAACTACCGAAACTTCCGGGGGAATAGAGTCAATGAAGGTAACAGCTGGCTTACTACTCTCCTTCTCTCTTTTTCTCTGCCTCTTTCTTTCTCTCTATCTCTGTACTCTCTCTTTTGCTATCTGTGTACTGTCTCTTCTTTCTCTCTGTTTACTCTCTACCTCTACCTCTGTCTCTTTCTTTCTCTCTATCTCTGAACTCTCCCCATCTCTCTCTATCTTTGTACTCTTTTTTTTTTATCTCTTTCTGTACTCTTTCTGTACTCTCTCTCTGTTCTCTTTCTCTATCTTTGTTCTCTCTCTCTCTCTATATATATATATATTCTCTCTCTCTCTCTCTCTCTCTCTCTCTCTCTCTCTCTCTCTCTCTCTCTCTCTCTCTCTCTCTCTCTCTCTCTCTCATACTCTTGTCTCTCCCTCCTTTTCCCTCCTTCTCCCTCTTCCCCCTCTCCTTTTTTCCCTTTTTTCATGTCTCCCCTCCTCCCCCACTCCTCCTCTGCCTCTCATCCATCCCCCTTTCTCTCGCTCTTCCCCTCTCTCTTTCTCCATCCTCCTCTCTCTCCCTCTTCGCCCTTTTTCTCCCCCTCCTCTCTCTTCCCCCTGTTTCTCCACCTCCCCCCCCTTTGTCTTCCTGCCTTCTCGTTCTGCCTTCTCCCCCTTTTTCTCTCCCTCCTCTCTCTAAGACAAGTTTCTCTTTCCCTCCCGTGTCCCCACACAGGCTCAGACATCGGGGAGTGGAAATTGATGCGCAGGTTTTTCCTGGTAGACAACGTGGCAACCCAGTCACCAACTGACTCAGGTAAGTGCTGAGCTCAGAAGCTGCTGGTATCTTTTGGAAACGGTAAATAGGGTTTTCCCTCATTAATTCTGTTACTTTCGTGTGGAGAACAGTTCTTATTCTTAGCATTTGTTTTCTCAACAAGCAAATATCAGTTGGGTGATAATTCTACATTGTACAGAGCTTAGAGCCTTATAGGGATTAGGTAGTGATGATGATTATAATGATGATTTATCATTATAAAATGTGTTTTTGTTTGGAAATGCAACTTGATAAATTTTTCATCATTTTCATATAACCCCAGCGGAATTCCTGGATGAAGAACAGTATTATTATAATTTTTTTAAAGCGG